GTGTGTGTGTGTGTGTGTGTGTGTGTGTGTTGTGCATGCGGTTTGTATATATATGTATATATTTTATATATATATTATATATATCTCTATTCTCTAGTCTATTTCATATATATTATATTATATATATATATATATATAATATATATATGAAATAGACATAAAATACATTTTACCGTCAAAATAATCTTACAAAGATATATATTAATGTTCAAACCAATTTTTATAATTAATCGTTTCACAATACTGTTTGTACTCATTGGCGTAGACGCACTGTGGTATAGGACATGTCAAAACTTCATGTGAAGGTGCTGATGGTTAGTTGTCATTAAATAATCAAAATTATATTTAAAATCAATTTATGTTGAAAAATAAGTTTGAAAAACATTTCTTAAATTTTTCATATGTATAAGATGTTTTGTTATATTGTTTCATTTTCAATAATAATATATAAATCTTGTTAACCTATACAATGTTTTCAATTGTCAAAGAACATTTTGAAATTTACCGTGCATGAATATCCATGAAGTTCTATATTAAAAATATTTGAAAATATTTTCATAATATTATTATTATTATTATCTATTAACAATTAAGTTAGATATAGTTAGAGTTTTTAACAATTAGATACTAATTTTTTGTTGATTCAATAATTATACTTTTTTTCTTAATAAAACTGTTTTTGCAAATGGTATTATTTTATATCTGCTAATTCTTATATTGTCTTATATATTATAATTGTAAATAAAACTTAATTAAAAAATTTATGAAGACAAAATACAATATAGTCAAATTAATATCAAAATTAATAATGTGGCTTTAATATGTAAATACAAGTTAATTTGTTGATAAATTATGTGTTTAGGGTAAAAGTCAGTTTAAGTTTGAAGATAAATGGCCATGTATGCGACCAACTATATTGAAATTACTCAAACAAGAACCTGTTACTCAAGCAGAATGGCAAGATTTATTTTTTTCTGTTCATGCAGTATGTGTGTGGAATGATAAAGGTGCTCTTAAATTATTAGATGCACTTAAAGAAGACATAATGGATTTTATAAAACAAGCTCAACAGGTATAAATCATAATTTTTAAATATATAAATAAATATTGTTAACAACAAAAAAATTATTGTTTTATGTATTTTATAGAGAGTCTTAGCACATCAAGAGGAACAAGCTCTGTTAAAAGCATATATAACTGAATGGAGAAAATTTTTTGTACAGTGTAATTATTTACCAACACCATTTAGACAGGTAGAAACATCTCTTACTGGAAAAGCACCATCCAGTGTTCAGAAAAAAAGTCAACCTGATGATATTGTTAGAAAAGTAAGGATTTTCTTCCAAGTTTTTCAATGTATAATTCTATAATATTTTGTTTTTATTATAGTTAATGTTGGATAGTTGGAATCAAAGTATATTTGGAGAAATAAAACAAAAACTTCAAGATTCAGCTATGCGACTTGTTCGTGCTGAAAGAAATGGAGAAGCATTTGATTCGCAACTTGTTATTGGTGTTAGAGAATCTTATGGTAACAAAATTTTCTTTATTATATCAGTTATACAACCTATATAAATTTAAGATTATATTAAATTATATTACAGTAAATTTATGTTCAAATACAATGGATAAACTTCAAATCTATAGAGAAAATTTTGAAGCAGCATATATAGAAGCAACGGAAGCTTTTTACTGGGTCAAAGCACCTGAACAATTGTCATTACATGGTGTAGAAAATTATATGCGTTATGCAGATGCAAAATTACAAGAAGAAGAACTTCGTGCCCAAAAATACTTAGAGCCAAATAGTGCTAGTGTACAACTTTTAACTGATTGTTGTGTACGTGTATTAGTGGCAACTTTCAAGCCAGCTATATTAGCAGAATGTCCAAGAATGATTCAACATCGTCAAACAGATAGTGAGTATAATATAATTTATATTATAATTATCGTAGTAGTATTTCTATGATAATAGTATGATATAAATTATACTTATAGAACTTAGGTTAATGTTAAAACTAATGGATAGAGTTCCTGAGGGAGTTGGCCCAATGTTAAGAAATTTAGAGGAACACATTGCAAGTGCAGGCTTGGCTGACATGATGGCAGCTGTGGATGTTATTACTCAAGATTCTGAAAAATATGTTGAAAGATTGTTGGATCTTTTTCGTCGTTTTTCAATTCTCGTTAAAGAAGCATTTGATGATGATCCTCGATTTCTAACAGCTCGAGATAAAGCTTACAAACTTGTCGTAAATGATGCGACGGTTTTTAGACTAGAATTACCTGCACGTCAATGTTCTGGTATTGGTACAACGATTTTGTATAATAAACCTAATAACAATAATAATGGGCAGCCAGAATCAAAGTGTCCAGAACTTCTAGCTAATTACTGTGATATGTTACTTAGAAAAACGCCACTCAGCAAAAAATTAACTTCTGATGAAATTGAAAGCAAACTAAAAGATGTAGTATGTATTTTAATTTATATATGATTCTTATGTTTGATATAATATTTGTTACTATTTTATCTTACATTTACTTTACTCGTTTCAGTTATTAGTGTTAAAATATGTGCAAAATAAAGATGTATTTATGCGCTACCATAAAGCCCATTTAACAAGGCGCTTAATATTAGATACATCTGCTGATTCTGA